TAGCTGGGACTACAGGCGCCCGCCACCTCGCCCGGCTAGTTTTTTGTATTTTTTAGTAGAGACGGGGTTTCACCGTGTTAGCTAGGATGGTCCCGATCTCCTGACCTCGTGATCCACCCGTCTCGGCCTCCCAAAGTGCTGGGACTACAGGCTTGAGCCACCGCGCCCGGCCCAATTATGGATTTTTAAAAGGAAATATTTTTATTTCCATTTTAACAGGTCACATTATTTGGAGACAGGTTGGGAGGGGGCAAGACTGGAAGCAGGGATGGAAGAGACCACTGTAACAGTCCTGGTGAGGAATGTTTCCTGGCCCAAGAATGGGGCAGCATCTCCAGGGAAAGGAAGTGAAAAGATCTGACAACTTTTTAGGAGGCAGAATCTATAAGACTTAGCCATCAGTCATATTGGAGGTAAAGAAAAGGTACCAAGGATGGTTTCTAGATTCCTGGCATGGCAATCAGAGGCTGTGGTGTCATTTGCTAGAATGAACACCGTAGTGAGAATACGAACACAGCTTGTGCTGTGCTGACGACATCTATGAGCCATGGGAGTGCAGAGGTTAAACACACTTGGTTACACTGGTCTAGAGGTCACAAGCCAGGACTAGACTAAATACAGAGCACACCTAAGCACCACAAGTGGCCATAAGCAAGTGGGGCAGTAGGTGTTTTCTTCTACTAATTTTTCTAAGTTGGTTCATAATACACTAGGTGAAACACTCTCTGAAACTCTTATTCTACTAGGGAAAGGGTATCAGGTAGGAGGTGCTATATAAAAACAAATATAGGGCTTATCCAAAATATTTGTTGTTTTAAATAAAAACTCAGAAATGGAACCACACATATATAAAACTCTTATATCTGACCTAGCAGTGCACGATAATGAAGAAAGAAGGCATGATTTAGGCTATCGTCATGGGAAAAAAGTGAAACTTTACCAGGCTACCTCATATACACCAAATCCAATTCTGAACAGATAAAAAACCTAAATGTCATAAAACATTTTAGAAGAAAATAAAGGCAAATAATGACCCTGCAGTATATTTCCTAAACAAGACACAAAGGGCACAAACTATAAGGCTAAAGAAAACCCTAATTCACCTACATTAAAAAGTAGACTTTTGCCCAACAACAGAAACAAGAATGTGAAAAACAAACTACAAAAAGAGAGAAAATATTGCAACATATTAACAAAGGAGAATATATAAACAATCCCAACAAATCAATAAGACAAAAAGCCCAGTCTTTCAATGTTTGTTACTCATGTCATTTTTTCAAAGAAAAAAAAAAAAAAGAGAGGCAGGCATATCACACCAGGAAGGAGAAAACCATCTGGTAGTACATCACTACAAAGGCAGGTGAACAGGCACTATCCCGCCCTGTCAGTAAGGACATAAAATGATGACAATCTCTTTGGAGGACAACTTGCCAATATCCATAAAAAATGTTTTGACTTGGCAAATGCACTTCTAGCACTTAGTCAAGAAATAAACTCTCACATAATGTAATATGATCAGTCAAGGACATTCTCTGTAATGTTTCTAGTAGCAGAAAAATGAAAACGTAAAATGTCCAACAATAGAAAGTAAGTGTAAATAAATTACATCTATACGATGGAATCTGAGACAGAGTCCTATGCAGATAAGGAACCATCACTAAATTAACTGTCATGTGAAAAAATCAAGAGGTGGAACAGAACGTTTAAATAAGGGAGCTGGCTACAAGGTAGAAAATGAAAAAATATTTCTGCCTACATGCATAGACTATCTCCGGATGGTACAAAAGAAACCAGTGAAAGAGATGGCCTTTAGGAAGAAGAGTAAGGGACTGGGGCTAAAAGTTAGAGATTTGCCCCTCATTGATCAGTCTATAGCAGCTTTAATTTGCTTTTTAACCATGTATGTATGCACTACCTTTTAAAAAACAAAATCTCCTGCTATGAACATTTCAGCCATTCTCAAAAAATAAGAGAGAATAAACAAATGATAGTATATCCATACTTATCAATACTATATTCAGCAGCTGAAAAGAAGAGTGAACCAATATGTATTAATAGAACCCATAGAAGGTTTCTTTGGGGATAATGAAAATGTTTTAAAATTGACTGTGGTGATGAATACCCAACTCTATGAATATGCCAAAAGCCATTAACTGTACACTTTAAATGAGTGAATTCTATGGCATTTGAATGATATCTCAATAAAGCTATCAAAATATATATAGATATACAGTCATATACTGCTTAACAACAGGGATACATTCTGAGGACTAGGTTGTTAGGTGATTTCACTCTTGTGTGAACATCATAAAATGCACTTACACAAACCTAGATGGCACAGCGTACTACACACCCAGGTTATATCATATAGCCTACCATTCCTAGGCCACAAGCCTGTACAGCATGTTACTGTACTGAATACTGTAGGCAACTGTAATACAATGGTATTTGTGTACCTAACCATAGAAAACGTACAGTAAAACATGGTATTATAATTTTATGGGACCACCATTGTAAATGGGGTCCATGATTGAGCAAAATGTCCTTATGCTGCATGTAACCAGATACATACACATATACAGAGAGAAAGATTCAGAAACTTTAGCCCAAGCTGGTCAACCTGCAGCCCAGGACAGCTTTGAATGCAGCCTAACACAAATTCATAAACTTTCTTGAAACATTATGATAATTTTTCGCTTTTTTTTTTTTTAAGATCATCAGCTATTGTTAGTGTTAGTACATTTTATTCGTGGCTCAAGACAATTCTTCTTCCAATGTGGCCCAGGGAAGTCAAAAGATTGGACACCCCTGCTACAGCCTCTAAGCCTCTCACTGTTTTTTTTCTTTTTTTCACCCCACATTGGTTTTGATAAAGTTTTATTGGAACACTGCCACACCCATTAATTTACATACTATCTGTGGCTGCCTCCATGCTATGACAGCAGAGCTGGGTAGTTACAAAAGCCAGTATGGCATACAAAGTCTAACATGTTTACTATCTGGCCTTTTACAGAACAAGTTTGCAGACCCCTGTTATTAAAAAGTCTTTAAGTCAATTGTATAAAAAACAATAGTTGTAGAATTACACAGTCAGTATATTATTGATGTTCAAAAACCACGCACAGCATAATACCATAGAATTTTTCTTTTTCTTTTTTTTTTTTTGAGACAGAGTTTCATAGTTTTGCCCAGACAGGAGTGCAATGGCATGATCTCGGCTCACTGCAACCTCCACCCACCAGGTTTAAGCGATTCTCCTGCCTCAGTCTCCTGAGTAACTGGGATCACAGGCGCCCGCCACCATGCCCAGCTGAATTTTTATTTTTAGTAGAGATGGGGTTTCGCCACCTTGGCCAGGCTGGTCTCGAACTCCTGACCTCAGGCGATCCACTCACCTTGGCCTCCCAAAGTGCTAGGATTACAGGCGTGAGCTACTGTGCCTGGCCATATGACTGAATTTCTATGAGTTCATGTAATAGTGTTAGGAAATACTCTAGAAGGGTAAGCACTAAACCAAATGTATACCCAGTTACATCCACACAGAGGCAGACGGACAAGGATTAGGGTTAGTCAAAGGGGACTTTGGCTTTATTTGTAATTTAACTGAAGATTTGCTTTGTTTGAAAGAGACAATATTCATGTATTACTTGAATAACAGAATATTTTTTATTAACTTTTTTAAAAGTGAGGCTGGCAGAAGTGAAAAGCAACAGGACTAGGTGGAATAAACATTGTGAGCCCTGATCTTGGTCTTAATGTCATGAAACCCTGCATAAAATTTTAATCGTTCTGACTTTACACCCACCTTTTACTTTTTACATATCTTTTTCCTGGCATTCCACTTCTATTTCCCTTTCATCAACTTCAGAACTGAGGTTTTTGTGTTATAAGGTGAAATTACATGGAAGACAAGCTAAAAGTAGGCACAGGCCACAGAATTTCTGGGTTCTGACAATGGTCAACTATTTCAGGCATATAGTTCCCATTTCAAGGCCCCTGGGCCATACGGCTACTCCTAGTCTCAGTGTTAGCACGCCTTGCAATCAGTCCATCCTGTTAGCCTTTGTATTCATATTATTCACATGACCCTCATAAGAATTCTAGAACTTCCAACATTTTTCTGCACCTCAAAATGCAAGTAAGTTTGGCTAGTTTTGTAACAAAGTGCACCTTAGCAAGGAAACTAAATCACTTCTAATGAGCAATTAAAGCCCTAGAATGGCACGTATGTAATTTGAGTCCCCAACCAAGCTGCTTTCAACCATAATTTACAGAGATAATATGGGTATACATGATCAAATATATATAAAATCCATCTCTAGGAAAATAAAGTAGGTTGAAATTCAACTGGAGAAAGTAGTTTTGGACAATTATTGGTTTAAAAACCATGGGAATGGACAGTTTTTTGAAGCAAAAACATTAATATGTCAAATATAGTTTCCAATTGCATATATTTATACAAAATTAGATCTCAGATAACCAATCTTCTTACAGTAGACCTACAAACTATGTACAGTTTCTGGAAAAAACAAGTGCTCTAAAATAACAAAGGAAAGCATCTAAAAGAAAAAGATAAGGATAGGGTATCATTAGGCCATGATGTTTAAAGGACTGGTGCTCGGTCTATATGCTTGAGCAATAATCAACAGGGGAAACTTGTGTAATTCTCTAATTACGAGTATACCACAGCCACTTCTGCTTCTGAAACAAAAGCAACTGGACAACCTGAAGAAAGGTTGCTTAGCTGAAATAACCTGGGCAAACCTGGCTGTACAGAAACTACAGTTTCAGGGAAAATAATCCATTCATAAAACCGATCTTTTAAACAATCTGGTTTTAAACAAAAAGGCACACTTATAGCAAATCTTCACAAAGGAGAGAGAATAAAATGTTGAGTATTAACAGAAAAGAAGCATTAAAAATTACACATAGACACATTTTAAACTAAAAATAATTTATGCTTCTCCTTGGGGAAAAAGATTTGCTTCTACAAAACTCACCTCCGTGTTCTAGAAAAACCCGAACACATCTTTCCTTTCCTCTTGCTGCAGAGAAATGAAGCAGAGTCCAGCCATTAGCATCTCGGCCATTTGGAGAATAGCCTTGTTCTAACATCTTTCGCACTGTGTGGACATCTCCAGCAGCCACCGCAGCCTGAATCTGCAACTCTTCCTGGAGTTCAGGGTTCCTTCGACAATGATGGTGTAACATCCTAGCTGAGTCCACTTTTTACAAAGGATTCATTAGGTCACGGGGAACAGCCTTTAAGAAGAGAAGGTAGAAAATGTAAAATTTAGAATAGCTGGTTCCTGATACTGTGTCCATTAAATATTACAGAACATTCCATTTGCTAAATCAGTAAACCTTACTAATGACAGTGCATACTACTAGCCGGGTGTGGTGGTGCACACCTATAGTCCCAGCAACTCAGGAAGCTGAGGTGGGAGGATTACCTGAACCCAGGAGATCAAAGCTGCAGTGAGCCATGACAGCACCACTGCACTCCAGTCTGGACCACAGAACAAGACCCCATCTCAAAAAAAAAAAAAACCACAAAAAAACAAACTAGCAAGATGATACAATATATTTTAAAACCTTAAGAATCTAAACAATCAGGCCAGGCACAGTGGCTCACGCCTATAATCCTAGCACTCTAGGAGGCCAAGGCAGGCGGCTCACTTGAGGCCAGGAGTTCGAGACCAGCCTGGCCAACATGGTGAAACCCCGTCTCTACCAAAAACACAAAAATTAGCTGGGTGTGGTGGCACATGCCTGTAATCCCAGCTATTTGAGTGGCTGAGGCACAAGAATTGCTTGAACCCGGCAGGTGGAGGTTTCAGTGAGCTGAGATTGTACCGCCACACTCCAGCCTGGGCAACAGAGTGAAATTCTGTCACAAAAAAACAAAACAAAAAAAGAATCTAAACAATCTGGTGATTAACCACATGATAAAATTACTGAAAGGAAAAGTAGTACAGTGAATTCTCATACTCTTTAATAGTTCAGAAAAGAGGACTGTACTAAAACCGAATATAGAATGAAATATCTGGCCAGGCACAGTGGCTCACATCTGTAATCCCAGCACCTTGGGAGGCCAAGGCAGAAGGGATCACTTGAACCCAGGAGTTCGAGACCAACCTGGACAACACAGTGAGACCCTGTTTCTACAAAAAAAATACAAAATAAAAAAATTAGCCAGGCATAGTAGTGTGCACCTGTAGTCCCAGCTACTCGGGTAGAAGCAGGAGGATCACTTGAGCCTGGATCGAAGCTGCAGTGAGCTGTGATTGTGCCACTGTACTCCAGCCTGGGATACAGAGCAAGACCCTGTCTCAAAAATTAAAGAAAGTAAAATGAGACCTCCTTTATGGAAACAGGAACAGTCCAAAGTGAAATGGTAAAAAGTTGCATCTTACGCGTGTATACAAAAACATTTTTAGTGTGTTTTTAAGTTTTTAACTACATACAGCAAACTAAACTGACAAGCTTCTGGAAAGCAACTCCAGGTGTGCTAACTGGAAGGAATAGATTAGACTCATCTCTTAACTAGCAGCCTCTGTTTCTAAAAATTTTTTAAAGTGTGATAAAGCCCTTTAAAGACATTTCTGTTCTCATATGTAGGTTAGACATCTCAGGATAATCTTGCTACCAACAATCATTTATCTTGCAAAACTTATTATAGACTGTATAAAGGCAAACTTAGGGCTAACTTAAGTTAAATCGTTACAACTTAAGAATACAAATATCCTATGTTGTTTTATACATAGGAAATGGTGTCATTACCTACTCATAAGTATCATGACTAAGTGCTCAACTTTAAAAATATCAAGCTACTTCTACAAATAGCTATTTCCTCAGAGAAGATTGCCTCCTTTTTTTTTTGAGACAGAGTCTTGCTCTGTCCCCCAGGCTGGAGTGCAGTGGTGCAATCTCGGCTCACTGCAAGCTCCGCCTCCCAGGTTCAAGCCATTCTCCTGCCTCAGCCTCCCAAGTAGCTGGGACTACAGGTGCCCGCCATCACATCCGGCTAATTTTTTTGTATTTTTAGTAGAGACGGGGTTTCACCATGTTAGCCAGGACGGTCTTGATCTCCTGCCCTCGTGATGTGCACTCCCAAAGTGCTGGGATTACAGGCTTGAGCCACCGCGCCCCGCCACAAGATTGTCTCTTATTTCTTCTCTCAATTCCTTCACAAAAATCGTCCCTTCTCAGAAATTTTAAAACGAGAATCCTTTCAGAATAGGTTTTTGCTTATTCTCAGTTATAACAGAAAATGCTGAAGACCATCTGAAGGAACTAATGGAAACTTACTATGCTCACAATCATCCTTAACAGATTTTTTTTTAATGAAGTGATCATGTTGGCACTTAAAATGAGGTCTACCACACACGAAAAAGACTGAAACAATATGAAAACAAACCTGGGTTTTCTTTAGTGAGTGGTGTATTTAGTACACATTAACCGATTTAAGAGAGAAGTAAAAAAGTTAAATGAGTTTTCCCCCAGAACAACACAGATGATCAATGACCCTGAGTCAACTCACCTTATGGAAGAGTGTCCCTTCTCCTGATGTATGGATTGCCTAATAACCATTGTGCACATACAGCATCGTGGGGAGGGGCTTCAAAATATGTCCAGCTTGCAGAGCAAAAAAGCCTTCTTGACCTAAAAACAAATAAAAATAACAATCATAGGAAAATTCCTTAAAATAATAATCATAGCTGTCTGCACAGTCTATCTTTTGATGAATTTAAACTTCAGGGCTTTACAATAAATCTGTAGAGCAGAGAAAGAACTCAGATCAACTCTTACAGAAAATAACAAGATTATTTTCTTACAGAAATAATAATCTTGTTATTTTCTGTAAGAAATAATTTAGTTTCAGGATTTTTCCCCCAAAATGCAGCTATTTGAAAAAGAGCAAATAAAAAAAATAATAAATCACATATTTGGAATTTGGATGCAAACATAGATTCTTCATTTTCCTCTACTGAGAATATACTTTCAGACTTGCTTTATCTGAATTACTTTTTAACTGACACCATTAGTCACCTGCACTTTCTAAACAGGACTTAAATGAGAATATGTGTGCATTAAATATAGTAGGTGGCCTGGGTTAAAATAAAATCTATGACAACTAAAAGGAGACTGTGTCTTTAAATGCTTTTTCTTCACATGCCCTAAAGGCATCAAGTCAATCACTTTGAAATTGTTATTCCTCTATGCATACACCAAACTAGATAAAACATTAACAACAGCCTTGCCAGGTTCCCCATGTGAATTCTGAATAAACTCTCTCTACAACTAAAAGAAAAGGGATCATTCTTCTTGTCAATTAAATTCCAGCTCTGTTAATTCCATCAAGGTTAAAGACACAAAGTGACTTCCACACAAAACTCTAGGAATTACGTATTGGGAGAACTACTACCCTATCCCCCGATGGTGGGTGAGCATCACTTAAACCTTCAGACAAGAAAAGGTCAGACCACTTAGCAACCTGGCATGTGGCAGTTGTATGTCCTGCCAGCTGCACACCAGAATTTTCAACCAATCCAAATTGGTATATCCACTTCTCTCTTTTCCTCTATTCTCATCTACTTTTCCTTGTCAAACTTCTTCAAGGAAGGTAAAGAGTTTGCCAACTTGCTCTTGGAAATAAAATTTGTTTTAAAATTCTATTATTATTTCTAAATAAATGAGGCAGACAGGATCAGAACAAATCCTACGAAACAAGCTGTGAAACATGCAAAAAGATCCTTATACAAATGGCTGATTCCAAGACTGGAACATCGCACGGTGCCAGAAAGCAAGGAGGTGCTCAAAGAAAGACACCACGATGGGGGAAGTTAAAGGGACACAGGAGCCAAGTGAAAGATCCCTCAATAGCCAAAGACGGAAAAACTGGAGCAATACTTAAAATAGTACCAAATGACAAAGTACGAAGCAGATACCAAGAGTTCACACTTATACAAATAACTGACTGGATAAATAAAGAGGGGGAGAAACACATCTGTTGTTCAGAATTCCAAATAATTTGTATAGATAGTCCCTCCTCAAGGTGGTGACAAACATATATGTTAATACAAGACGTTAATAGGAGAAACTGAGTGTCGAGCATCTAGGAACTCTGTACTGCCTTTGTAATTTTTCTGTAAATCCAAAGCTTTCCTATAATAAATTTTATTTTAAAATGCAAATCAACATCTCCAATGATGAGCCTCACACATTGCCACAAATGAATATGCTACCACTTTTCACATGAGCTACGTCTACATTTCAAGAGTGAACATTACTGGACTTCTCACTTCTAAGTGTGTCCTCAGCACCCCTTGCTTCCCATAAGAAGTAAAAATGACCCAATATAGCTTCAAGCCTGTAAGAATTCCTGTGGTTGTTGCTGGCTTCCAACTACCCATCTCCACGTCCACGGAGGCAGCTGGAGGTGACAGGGAAGAGGGCATGAGAGCTGAGCAGAATAGGAAATGGTGTTAATTTATTAATAATATCAAGAGAAGGCCTGGTGGTAGAAGATGAAGTGGCGAAACTATTTCTCCCCACAAGAAAGATGCACAGGCGGTAGCAACTTGTGATAATTCCATACGAGCTCCTTCAGTCAAACAAACAAATGTCTACGGAATGCTTCACAAGTACTTGGCACAGTGATAGGGTCTGGCCACAGGTAGCACCTCCAGGTGGTATTACAATAGAGTTCTGCATACTTAAAATGAATTTTTAAAAATCCCAGACATTTTAAGATTATTTTTCTCTTTTCTGAAAATACCAAGTGCTATAAACAATAACCACAGGTTTAAACCAAAAAAGTACTCCCTGCATGTACTAGCGCATCAGTGTTTACCAGAAAAAAACATACACACAAGTCATGCACACATGATCCCTGTCAGTGCACTGCTTTGAATTGTGATAGACAATAATTTATTATAAAAGACCCCCAAATAGTCAAAAGCATGAACAAGTAATTTCCTCTTGGTATTACTTTATGAGAGCTGCGCCTGACAGAGTAGGGCTAGTCACATGTGTATAAATGAAGAAAAGACCATGGAGCTGAAAAGCAAACACAATATCCAGTGGGAAAGATATCTATTAAAAAACGACAGAGGAAGTCCAGAGATGAGAATAGAAGAAAGTCTATTTTCCCTCAGGGAGTTTACTAAAAAATTGATAGCTCACGGAAGTCACCTATAAAATAAAAAACGAATATAGCAAAGGAAGTAATTTTCTGGTTTTTTTTTTTTTTTTTTTTTTGAGACGGAGGCTCGCTCTATCACCAGGCTGGAGTGCAGTGGTATGATCCTGGCTCACTGCAACCTCTGCCTTCAGGGTTCAAGCGATTCTCCTGTCTCAGCCTCCCGAGTAGCTGGGACTACAGGTGCGAGCCACCACGCCCGGCTAATTCTTGTGTTTTTAGTAGAGATGGGGTTTCACCATGTTGGCCAGGATGATCTCAATCTCTTGACCTCTTATCCACCGCCTTAGCCTCCCAAAGTGCTGGGATTACAGGTGTGAGCCATTGTGCCCAGCCAGGAGGTAATTTTCTAAGTTATGTATGTTCAGTTAAGCTTTTGTGGACTCAGGAGCTACTGATACTCTGAGGGTATGATCTTTAGAAATTCTATTCTAGGTTTCAATCAGAAGGAGAAAAAAAGCATACAAACAAGGAAGACTTTCTTTTCCACTCGGGGTCAAAATAAAACAATCTAGGCTCCAAGCTTTAGTACTACTGACCATATTAAAAACTACTAATTTAGAAATTCAAATACATTACCATCTAATTTCCACATAGATGTCAAGTGTAGTTCATTTAAACCCAAAACTTCTTGCTTCACACAGTTAAAAGTCTATACTGATAGAACAGAGTGAAGAATAAAATAAACATAAAACAAAATATGCTTAAGACCTGTCCAAAGTTACAAAACCTTCACCAAATTTGACCATATTTCCCAAATTTCCTTCAGCATAAATGATTAGACATTAATGACTTTCTGCATATTATTATCATTAAAAGTCCACAGTTTTGATTAAGTGATGTAAACTGAACTGTGCTTTCTGATGTCACATAAACTTAGAAACAAGATATTGGCTTGCTGCTCAAAGAAAGAAATAAGCATTTCTTTGCAAAGTAAACAAAAATACACGCTGCTAAGAAAATAAATGCAATCAGCAACTCCAATGACACTGGGTCTGAGGAAAAAAAAAAATCTTCAATGGTTCACATTCACAAGATCTAAGAGGGAAGACGGATATGAAAACACTATACGGCCCTACCAAAATGGAGAACATGGCTGAGACGCCTGTTCACAAGCTCTGCTGATAGGATCAGGAGCCTGGAACCCAAAATAAAGTAGAAGTGTTATTTCAGTAACACTCAACAAAATATAGCATAGTGGTTATGTTCCAAAACAAATAAAGGCATTAGTATTTCCTCCAAATTACTGGGCCTCCATATAACATAAGGGTTTATTACCATGCACAGCTTATCCATGACTCACATAAATTCCAGCAGAGAAACCAGTAACTTTCATGAAGTGTGGATGAAGCAACAGAAGAAATTTTAGAATTCACTTATCCAGACCCAACTCAAAGCTTAAATCACAAGTATTATAACAATGAGGTCCTGTCAATATTATCCTATTAACCCAGGTCTGCCAACACCATCTTTGCAGCCTGTGTCAGTTCCTAGAAAGTTTGCAAGAAAGGAGACAATCATCCTACATAAGAAGTGCATTCAGTTGATTATGAAATGGAAGGCTGCAAGTCAGGTAACAGATATGCCAATATAAATGATATCTGGCTTTAGACCTTTTAGGGATGAGGTGTATCTCTGTGTCACCAAAGTTAAACATGAACGAATTAAAGAGATATTGTATGCGTCACAGTATTAAATAATTGTAAATGACATAACTTTATGTGTAAAGAATGTAAGTACTGGCCACAGTATACTAAAGATGCATCATTGTATATCTTCAATTAAAATCAATTATTCGCACTACATGATTATAAATCTATATTTGGTGACCAAATAAATTGGACTTTTTTAAAGCCACATGATTGGCAATAGAATTAATACAAAGCTAACTGCCAGGTTAAAAAATGTAAGCTACCTAACTAGCCATGTTGGTAAATAAATACCCAAATTAAATATTCTAAATGTCTGGTATAATCTAGACAAAACTCTCTCAATCATTCTGATATTAGAAACATGACAGACGTTGACAATTTATATATATTCCCTAATCTTAGAAAAACCATTAAAAGATGAGATGACCCAATACTATTTAAGCAATGAGAATGAACTGGCTGAGAGTCAGAGTAAAGCCCTCTCCTCTCTTACCTTATATACTGGAATAGCCACAGACTCCCTCCCTTACCATCTCAGGTGAAACTACTTCTTAGAAATGAAAGCATCCTAGAGTTAAATCTAAAGCTGAAAAAATATTTAACTGAGAGGCTTGAATACAAAACACAGTACTTCATTTTGATCTTTAAAACATGCTTCAAATATTTTAGCATTTTTTAAAAGTTCTGAAGTAATCATTAGGCCATCTCCCTGGCAACTTCCATACTTACATAATAAAAATTAGCCTTTAAAGATTTCTGCTTAGCTTTTACTGAAATGACATAGTCAAGTACTCCTGATTCCCCACATATACATACAAAAGCTGCCCTAAGTATTCATCAGGGAACAGTCATTGGTAGATACTGATTCTAAATCCTATTCCCTAGAATCTCTTCTTTTAGCAAGCAGTTCCATGTCTCAAGAATATGTATACTGCAGATCCCCTTAAAAACGTCTTTAGCTATGTCTTAAGAATTAACAGAATCAGTAAAGATGCTAATTTCTTTTTGTGGAAGGCAGAAAGTCCAGTGGAACATAGGAAATCAAAAATATTAACTTCTGCTATTTTAAGTACTTCCTTGTAACAAAAATTCCCTAAACAATCTGGGATATTAAAATAACTCAGATTAACAAGTCACTTTATACTTTTGCTACTGGACGTTAGAAAAGTCATTCATTTGGCTAATTTTGGAATTAAACCTTGTATAATTTTCATGCTTATATCCCCTTTTTAGGAATTACACTAATGTCCTAAGTTTACTTTCAGTGCATTTTCAGAAGCAACAACAAAATATGGCAGCAGAAATGTGATCACATGAATTGGATGCCTAAATTTCAATCTAGCAAACTCTATGTAAAGGTTTTAGAAAGAGAAATCTTTTTTATAGAGTGCTAAAATTAAGACCCAGATATGTAAACACACCAAAAGGTTCCTTTGTTTTTAAAATCCTGAGTCAAATGATTAATAAGATATTGTGTAAATTTTTAAAAGCTCTTCTAGAAAATCTGAGGTGTAACAAACATTGTTTGTATCTTTATAAGTTTCAAAGCCCATCCACATTTGTCACACACAAACACACAGAAAGCCCAAAGAGTTAATTACGCCTAAGTGCTTCAGGGTAATAATATTGCCTTCATACCATTCACACTCTTAAGGTACACAGGTTGGCTTTCTAGTAGGAAATAAAATCAAATTATTTTCTGAAACTAATAAATCTCAGGCCAATAATTTACCTTTCTCTACCAAATCGATGTCAGTTCGATAACTCAAAAGATTTTTCTGATGCTGGTAGAAGAAAGGTGATAGGAAAGAATAAGGGGGAAAACAGTAAATTGTGGTTTAATTAAAAACGAAAGTCGTTCAGAATTAACAAGCAATTAACAAGGAATTGAGGAATTCCTATGAGAGTAAGGAAGGGAGGGTAGCTACAAAAAGGTCTCAAAGCCTCAGAGCAGAGTAAATGGCACAGTGTACCAAAAGATAATGAAAAACACAGAAACACACTGTACAGAGAGAAAGTGGGAAAATACGTTCCTGAGTAGAGAAGTTATAAAATGTTAAGGATCAGGCACGGGTAATGTTTTTATTTTTCCTGGGAAACTGGGGGTGGGGATGTTAGAAAAGGTTGCATTCCCAGGCAACCACCCTGAAAATAAACCACTGCTTAATGAGGTAGGGGCCAGGAATAAACAGTGGGGGAGGGGAGGGCTGGCTCATTACCTTTATAGACGATGCTGGTCAGAGGCACTGTGCCTTCTGCTTCTCTGATAGGTGGGCAGACCCGTTCCTGCTTTCGCGTCCTCTTCAGCCAGCTCAAACCTAGAAAAACAGAAACCAGTGAGTGGTGTAGTGCCTCAGGGGTGAGGAGGAGGGGGCTCTGAAGAAGGGGGAACTCAGGAAAGGGGCTGGAGAGTGGCAAGAGCAGGCAAGAAAAAGCAGAGATTTTCCTCCCTCCTTCCTCAGCCAGCCCTCTTCCCCTCGGGAGAGGTAAAGGACTTTACCTGTCTCCTCAGCTGCTGCTTCTCTTCCTCCTTTCAGCCTCCTCTACACTCACCAACTTCTCCATTGAAGAAATACCCCAGGCAGGGCCGGACCCTGGCGTTCCTGAACCTCCTCGGTGCCTCACGGCCCCAGCCCGGCGAGCATCCGAACAGACGAGCAGGCAGGAGGTGGCGATCCCGGCCGCCGGGCAGCCTTCGGGCAGGGGTGCAGGGAGGCAGGGAGGAAGTCCCGGCTCGGGTGGGGGGGCAGTCCCGGTCCAGGGCTCGGAGCAGGGGGTTGCCGCGCTCCGGGCCGGAGGCTTCCAGCTACGGAGGGACCCAGGAGGTCTCGGGACGGTGAGGTCCCAGGTCATACGGGGCCGAAGTGCCAGTCGTGGGGTCTCCGGACAGGGGGCTTTCGAGATGCACTTTGCACTGGGCCACCCCCGCCCCCTCCCTCCAGCACTTTGGGGTCACTGGGATGGGACCAAGCCTTCAGCAACCAATCAGCGGCCGCAGTGGAGCCTGAGCCTGGAGCCGTAAACCAGGTCCGGGATGGGTGGGGGTGGGGGGAGTGGGGGCGACTTGGTTGGTTGCTTGCTTCCTTCTCTCCTCCTTACCCCCAGCAGCCCCCACCCTCTGCCTGCCGTAAAGTTGCCTCTGCATTCGCGACAGTTAAGGGAGGCGTGCCGAACGAGGCAGAGATTCGTCTCCGATTGGTCTCACTCACTTCCCCCTACAGCTTCCCCGTGGTGGCTTCCGAGGCTCCGCCCCTGGCGGAGGGACTCAAAGCCGTTGCTAAGAGACACTATACGCCGAACGCGGGCTCTGCGCATGCGGAGGGAGGGGCCAGCTTGTACTTTCTGTGAACTACGGTGGCCCAGAGGGAGCATTTGTGTTCCCTCGAATGGCGGTGTGAGGAGTGTTCGCCTGAGCCAGATCCCAAGCAGGTAACCGGGAGCGGCCGCTGAGCTGGCAGCAGGGGAGGCACGAGTGCGGCCAAATGAGGGACTGGTTCAGGGATTAAGGCTGGGAGGGCGGCAGGCTCCAGGAAGCAAGAAAAGGGGTGCCCTGTCTCTCCGCCCCTGTTCAACGCTTCTCAGACGCAAGTACCCGGTCTTGGCGCGGCTGTTGGTCCCTGAGACCCCGGTAGCTTCCAGGCTGGCAATGCCTCCCCTAGAGTGGGAGAAGGGCCTGTCTTTGGGATGGCGATGCCGGGCCAAGGACTTTCCTGAAAGGATAGCAACGTTGGCGGGTTCCTGTGAATGAATGGAGAGGGGGCGTGGAGAAAATGCGAGATAAACTGATCAAGGCATGTTTATTAAGCACTTTATATTCATCTAGCAAGTGTTTACTGGCCACAGTTCTAGTCCTTGGGGAGACAACAGTGAACAAGATAGTGATTTCGGGGAGACATACACAAAATTATCAGATAGGGATGGGTTATATGAGGAAAATCAAGCAGAATGGTGGGATCGATTTTGACCAGGACGTGATGGGCTATATTAGATAGGTAGTGCTATGGTGTGAATATCTGTCCGCTCCATAACTCATGTTGAAATTTAATCCCCAATGTGGCAGTACTGAGAGGTAGAGTCTTTAAGATGTGGTTGGATCATGAGGGTTCTGTCTTCATGAGTGGATTAATCTATTCATGGGTTAATGGGTTATCATGGAGGTAGAACTGGTGGCTTTTTAAGGAGAGACTTGACAGCACGTGAGCCTGCTCAGCCCCCTGACCACGTGATGCTTAGCAGCGCTGCCTCCTGACACCAGATGTGGTCCGTCAGTCTTAGACTTCCCAGCCTCCAAAACTGTAGACAATAAATTACTTTTCTTTATAAATTACCGAGTTTTAGAAATTATTTTATAAGCAGAAGGAAACGAACTAAGAAAGATAGGAAAGGTCTCTGAAGAAGTGACATTTGAGCAGCCATCTGAATGACAAATAGCCAGCCATGCCAAGGTCTAGGGAAAGGATTTTGCCAGCAGAGAGAATTAGAAATGCAAAGCCTCTGATGCCAGAATATGCTTTGCTCTTTACAGGAACTGCCAGAAAGAAGGCTAGGGTAGCTGAAGCAGAGTGGCGGGAAAATGACTGGTAATGAAACTGGGGGGTGGGGCATAGAGGTAAGAATGACTGGTAATGAGACTGGGGCTTGGGGTATAAAGGTGAGAAGACGCCAGGAGTCAGATCTTGAAGGGCCTTTGTAAGCCTTGTTTAGGAGTTTGGACTCTATCCTAAGGAAAGTGGATTGGTTTTTCAGAAGGAAGTGGGTGTAGGGTGGGCCAGGATACAACCACTTTGGAAGGGATTGGTTGCAGTTGTCCAGGGTAGAAGTGCAGTAGTGGCAGTGAAGATAGATTCAGCTTTTTTATTTTTGTCCCTTTGTACTTCCCAGCAATCATATTTCATAATTTCAACTTTATAAATTTCCATTTCTCCTTGAAATTGGTAGCTGAATTATAATTAGAAACAACTTATTCAGGACTATTAAATGGTATCAATTTTTAGTAGCTTTCGGTCTTTCAATTCTACCATGATTTTTCCCTGTTTTTTTTTTTTCCTTAACAGCAGGACTCCAATGTAAAAAATAAAATAAAAGCGGTATTTTATTAGTATTGTTAAATGAAATGTATAGGAAGCCATTGTTTTAGATTAAACTCCTGCACTAGGCCCAACAGACCAGGCCAAATCAGAATGGAGTTGCTGGTGCTAGCTGCCACATAATCAAACAACTTAGAAATAGGCCAGTTGTCAAAAAATCCAGAAGATACACAGCAAGGAGTCAAGGGGGCCTGGCTTACCTGAGCCAGCGTGATAAAAAAGTCTCTCCTCCATTTTGTCTCTATAAGGAAAGTAACTTTGAAATGACCAGTCTGTCTTTTATTCTCTTTTTGCTTCTTCAACCCTCTTCAGCCCACCTCTGCTCAGCTAATCAGAACACCTTTTCTAAATTTTCAGTTGAGATGCTGCCAGATTCATGAATTGCTAATAAAAGCCGATTACATCTTTAAATTTGTTCAAATTTTGTTTGTTTTTGTTTTTGAAACGGAGTCTCACTCTGTCGCCTAGGCTGGAGTACAGTGGTGCGATCTTGGCTCACTGCAACCTCCACCTCCCAAGTTCAACCAGTTCTCCTGCCCCAGCCTCCCCAGTACCTGGGACTACAGGTGTGCTCCACCACACCCAGCTAATTTTTGTATTTTTAGTGGAGGTGGGGTTTTACCATGTTGGCCAGGCTGGTCTCGAACCTCTGACCTCAGGTGATCCACCCACCTCGGCCTCCCAGAGTGCTGGGATTACAGGTGTGAGCCACTGTGCCCAGCCTCAAATTTTGTTTTTTAACAGTTCACATATAATATATATGTTCAGTTTTATAACATTTACTAATTATAGACTCAAGAAGTTTTGAACTCCAAAAAGAAGGAAAAAGAGGCAGAAAGAGGTGAATAAATATGTAAATTGTTGTGGAGAATATATTCATTCTTATAGCAGACTCGGCACCCGTGCAATTCATATGGTGTGTTTGCTAGATGATGGTTAAGTAGAGAGATGGGGGGCTAAGAACTTGTTGGTGAAGAGCCTAGAAACAGAGTTGTCTCCTAATTCCTAGTTCTTTGTATTTCTGGCCATTTGTTTTTCATTTAAAATCCTGCCTTCGAGTTAAACAACCATTTTTCAAATGATCGAAGTACATGATTATATTATAACCAAGTAACATCATGTTGTCAAAGTTTTACAGAATGTGCTACTAGATGATTTTAAATTGCTTTATTGAATTGGTGCTATCAGATTTGCTAATTTTTATAACTTTTTGTTGATTTGTTTTTTATCCTCTGGTGTTGAAACAAACTTTTCATTGATGTAAAAGCGGTTTAGATTGTGGAGTATTTTTAACAAGTTAATATTGATTAGGTTTTAACAGATATACTTCATTTCCCATTCACTTAGTTAACCATACAAAACTCACAAAAATGGGAACATCTTACAACATATAAGTGAAATAATTTGGGGTAGGTAGGAAGCTTAATTCATGAAACCCTGACTCAATCAGAATTGAGTTTATTTCTTGAGTAGAAAAAGACTTTATCATTGGAAAAATGCCCCAGCCCCACTGCAGCAATTCTGATTTAGCTGGTCTCCAGGGAGTCAAAGGCTCATGGATTTTCCTAATGATCCAGTGATGTCGGTGTCAAGGTCAGATTCCAAGGTCAAGGACCACTGCCCAGGAGGCTGTGTCCTGGCCCATAAAGCACTTGGTGGTGGAGAGAACGAGCAGTTTATGCTCTAGTTGGCAGTAGGCACTGTTCTGGGCCTGCAGGTGGTATCTGGGGATCTTGGTGTAATAAAGAGGGCCACCAGAAAGACAGATGCAGCAAAGTTTGGAGCCCATTTTCTGCCTTGTTAGCCCAACTTAGTTCAGCTGTACCTGGCAGAAAAGGAGATGGGGCTGGGTAGACAAATTATATTTCAGACCTTAGTCATCACAGCAAAAAGAATGCTGAAAGAAAGGAAGCTAACTGGAGGCTTTTGAGTTCCTTATAGTTCTTGCCCTGCTAATTTAAGGGATTTTGGTCTTCCAGGGTAATTTTAATTTGTACTCTACCACAACCATTTTAAGATGGTACTTCAATGTGTGTTGCTTCTGTCAAGTACATTGTCAGATGTATAATACGGTAAAGACTGAACGAGCTCAGAACTTAATCCCTGATATGGATACTACTGTTTATAGTTTTTTGATACTACATTTTTATTTTAATTTAAAATTCAGAACTTAAAATATTACATGGTATTTTAAAAGTTTTTTGAGATCAAAATGGTACTAAAATATACTTCGGGACTGATTTTAGGATTGAGACATATACACTACTAAATTAATCTTCAGCTAGGAATGTATCCCACAAATACAAGTACCTACTGTGTATCAAATGCTGTGCTAGGAGCTGGGGAAGAACCAAGCAGACAACTCTTAACAGAATTTACAGTCTAGTAAATCATACAAATCATTGCACAGATTGTTTAAGTGTAATTGTGACACATTCTGTAAGATATGGCACCAGAACTAGAAGACAGAATATCACCGGAGGACCTACCCCTGCCAAAGAAAGTCATATTTAAGTCTAAAACAAAAGGGAAAGTGGGCGGAAGGAGAAACATTATGTCAAGGCCCAGAGGCTGGAAGGAACCTTTCAAGGTTAATAAATAAAGACATACCGAAGTCCTCCTACTTGAGTTCTATAGGTGTTTTCACATATAAGCCAGTTAATTTTTGCAAATTTTTGAGTATGCTGCTATCTGAGGTAGATAGATAATCTCATTTTATCTATTGAAAAATCACATCTTGTCTGCATACAGAATTTAGGAGTTCAGTAAAATCTGGACAGTATCCCATCTATAGACAGTTCCTAAACGCTACCCTGCCACTGGTGGCGGGTTTGTGGGGGCAGATGGAAAAGGGACAAGACATAGACTGGAAAAGGAGAAGACTAAGGAAAACCTTTCTGTAAAATATTTCATTCTGAAGTACCACTTAAAACATACAGTCATAATTTAGCAACTAAGTGTAGAAAAGTATCATTCATATTGATACATTGGAGAGTTTCCATT